CCGTTTTCGATATGAATCCTATGAAGCCACATAGAATGTACGGAGTAATTGTAGTGTAGAACATGCTAGGGCTGGGTTCGGTTTGGGATCCGAACCGATTCATCTTTTTTTGGAACCGAACCGATTTTTCGATTTTAGGGAAAATAAAAACCGGTACCGAACCGAAAGAGAATTGAGAACCAATTTTTTGGGAACCGAAATATCGGTTCGGTTTAACTGGGACCCATAAATTTGAACTACTACTTCATGCATTAAGCCCAATAAGCCTCACCCAAAGAATTTTGAACCCAATACGGGTTATAATTTTTCTTGTGAGCGGATACCTCATTATATAGAACTCTGAAGGAGAAAACCTACTCTTTGTCCGGTGTGGGACAAAGCAATATGGGAAAACAAAAATACAAAGTGAAGCTGAAAGGTTAAAAAAAACGGGTGCGAGAGACTCGATTCGGGCCGGGCCCGGTTCGGGCCTTGAACCGACCGGGCCTCGGTTCACGGAAGGCAGGCCCGGAACCGGCCCGGATAACCCCGGGTCCGGTTCGGTTCGGGTCACCCGCCCGGTTCACGGGCCAGGCCGCCCACCGGGTCGGGCCTTTTTTTATTATATATTATATTATTAGAATAATTCTTATTACAATTACAATATATTATATTCTAATTCAAGTATATTTATTTCAAATAAGAAGTACAATTGAGAATTAGGATGAATTTAAAAAATGTAATACATTTTGTAATAAAAAATCAATCGGAATCTCCGCCTTCGGTTGTTTCCTCCATAAAGTGGCGGGTGGGAGCGATGGTAATTTCTTGAGTTCTTCGTTGGGTCTTCAACCAATCGTGAAAGCAAACTAGTGTCTCAAGAGAGCTCGGGCTCAACCTCGTTCTATAATCGGTTAGGACGTTGCCGGCCGCACTAAATTCTTGTTCCACGGCAACGGTTGATATCGGCATTGCTAGCACTTGCTTAGCCATCTTTGATAAAATCGGGAATGTTCTTTCATTTTCCTTCCACCACTTAAGAACGTCAAAGTCATCACCAACTTCATAATCAACATTCAGTGTTAGATACAAAGAAAGCTCGTTACCTGAGCTTTGTTCAGTAGCGGGAGTTGCTCTACTTTTTTTCAAAAGGAAACCAAAAACGGATTTTAAAAGTGATTTTCCTTTAGATGAAGAAGATGTTCGTTGCATGGGAGGGGGTGCATTACCATATTGTGCATGAAATTCATTATACAATTGATGAAATAAATTACTAACCTCGTTGAATTCTTGTTTAGGGTCGATGGGATTATCATCGAACTCTTGAGTTGGAAAAAAGAAGCATAAGAGTAATCTATACAATTTGCCAAGTAAGCAAGTTTATAACGAGGATCAAGAACAAATGCAATACCATATATATGCGGTATATGTGAATAATATTTTAAACACTTTTGTTTCATGAAATCACAAAAATAACTAACGTGAGTGGCTTCGGAAAATTCACAAAAAGCGCCGGCGAGATTAACAGCTGGAAAATGTCAGCCGGGTTTATAATATAGTTACAAGTTTGTCTTAAAAAAGCTGGAAAATGATCTTTATATTTAATAAGTACTTGAATTAAATTATAAGTACTATTCCAATGAATAGACAAATCTTTAGGAAAAGCACAATAATTGCCACGTCTATCCTTCAAATATTGCCGCCATTGCATTTTTAGTGGAGTGCTAGCCCAAATCAATTTAATTCCCCCCTTCACTACCTTCAAAGCATTTCCTAATGCCGCTAAGCCATCTTGTACACACAAATTTAAAATATGACATGCACAACGTTGATGAAAAAACATACCCATAAATGTAGAAGCACCACACAATTCACGTAATCTAGGTATAGCTGCAGTATTATTACTAGCATTATCAAAACCTACAGCAAACACCTTATCAATCAAATTATACTCAATTAAAATACGTTCAATGAGAATATAAATATTATCAGCAGTGTGACGATCATTGAATTCACGAAAAGCAAGAACACGTTTATGCATATTCCAATCATCATCAATATAATGTGCAGTAAGACCCAAATAATATAAATGATGATAAGTATCCTCCCATATATCGCTACAAATACTAACACGTCCATCAAAGTTTGCGAAAAATGTTTGTAATTTTTCTTTTTCCAAGTTATATTTCCTTATAACTTCTTTTTTAATCGTTTTGCGACTATAATTTCTAAATTGAGGATTTAAAGTACCTTGAGCATAATCTCTTAAAGCAAGACTTTCGGAAAAAATATAGGGTAAATTTTCTTCAACAATTAAATGAGACATACCAGTCAAATGTTTTTTATCATCATAGGAAAAATTACCAAAGGGTTGAGAATTTGCAAACCTCGATATTTATGTTTGCTTCCCCTTGCCTTTGTCTATTTTCGCATACTCCACAAAGTGGGCGGACTAAAGATGCCTTTTGAGACTCCCGTATCCGCCAGAAGTTCCCAAGCTAAACTCTTTGTTCCAATGATTGCAACTTGCGTACCATTTTTCGGTATTTTCGTCTTTCCTTTTTGTATAATTGTTTTCAATAATAGGAGATTTAGATTTCTTACCAATTTGGGTTGTAATCGTTGAACGGGCCGAACGGCCCTCGTCCTCCAACTCTTGCTCATCATCCGGGGTGCCGTGAGTCCCGTCGCCCCCCGCGTCCTCCTCCGCATCGTCATCCTCGAGCTCCTCTTCATCAATGGTTGTCGGGAATTGTTGTTCTTGTGCAAAGCGTGGATCATTTTGGGACAATAGATGTTGTAGTTGCTCGTCGGACATCATCATATCATCTCGCCGTTGGTAATCCGTTTCAAAATCATCTCGACTTTGAAAAGAAGACTCGACCCACGCTTTACCTTTGCCTTTGCGTGAAGTAGATCGAGTCGATGCAATCTCCCTCTTGCGGTTGCGTTGGAGATTACCCACATCTACAGAATGTCTACCACGCTCCATCTTTAAAATTGAACAAATATTAGCAATTAACTAATATGAGAAATGTAAAAATGTAGCAATTAACTAATATGAGAAATGTAAAAATTAACTACTTTTTTTTTTACTTTAATGAGAAATGTAGCAATTAACTAATATGAGAAATGTAAAAATTAACTACTTTTTTTTACTTTAATGAGAAATGTAGCAATTAACTAATATGAGAAATGTAAAAATTAACTACTTTTTTTTACTTTAATGAGAAATGTAGCAATTAACTAATATGAGAAATGTAAAAATTAACTACTTTTTTTACTTTAATGAGAAATGTAGCAATTAACTAATATGAGAAATGTAAAAATTAACTACTTTTTTTTACTTTAATGAGAAATGTAGCAATTAACTAATATGAGAAATGTAAAAAATAACTACTTTTTTTTACTTTAATGAGAAATGTAGCAATTAACTAATATGAGAAAAGTAAAAATTAACTACTTTTTTTACTTTAATGAGCAATGTAGCAATTAACTAATATGAGAAATGTAAAAATTAACTACTTTTTTTTACTTTAATGAGAAATGTAGCAATTAACTAATATGAGAAATGTAAAAATGAACTACTTTTTTTTACTTTAATGAACAATGTAGCAATTAACTAATATGAGAAATGTAAAAATTAACTACTTTTTTTAACTTTAATGAGCAATGTAGCAATTAACTAATATTAATATGAGAAATGTAACAATTAAGTAGTTTAACTAATATTAATATGACAAATGAAACAATTAACTTTAACTACTTTAACTAATATTAATAAGACAAATGAAACAATTAACTACTTTAACTAATATTAATATGACAAATGAAACAATTAACTACTTTAACTAATATTAATATGACAAATGAAACAATTAAGTAATTTAATAGATAAATGAGAAGTCTAACAATTAACTACTTTTAGAAAATGTATGAATGTGTATAAGTCTATATCAATGAGTATAAGTATATATAGTATATATAATTTGTAAATATATTATAAGTAATATATAATATAATGTATAACTATATATAGTATATATAATATAATGTGTAAAGAATTATAATATGAATGTGTATAAGTATATATTTATAAGTAGATAATTAATATATAAGTAGATATAATAATTATATAAATTATATATATGTAGAAAGAATTTGGAGAAGATGAAGAATGAAGATGATTGAATATGAGAGATTGAGAGAATAGAGAATTTAGAGAGTAGGAAGAGTTGTAGAAGAAGAGGTGTAAAAAATGCATAGAAAATAGGAGTATAAATAGGTTTTTTTTTTTGTATACCCCCACCCCCCCTCCTATGCTCCCAACGGCTATAGAGCCGTTTGGGAGCTCTCCCAACGGCTATGGAGCCTTTAAGTATTTTTAAAAAAAATGACCGTTGCGGCCCGGACCAGGCCCGGCCCCGGCCGGTTCACTAAAATGCAGGCCCGGGACCGAACCGCTAGAAGACCGGGCCGGGTGGCCCGAACCGGGCACCAACCGGTTCACCGGGCCAGTCCGAGCCCGCACAGTAGCGAGCCGGTCCGGTTCCGGGCCGGTTGGCCCGGCCCGAGTCCATCCCTTGCGAGAGTCGAACCGCTGATGCCGAGCTAAGGAAGTGAAATGGCTAACCACCAGACCCACACTTGCAGTTTATACAGAAAGCACTCAAAATGTATTTATATCCTGTATAAACATTATTAATAACAACTATTAATTAGCAATATTAATAATCGGTTCGGTTCGATTTAAACCGATAATTTATGTATCTAAACTGATTCCGACCCAAATTGTTTTTGGGTCCCGATTTTCGGGTCCCAAAATTTATCGGTTCAGTCCGGTTCGGTTTTTTACATTTCGGTTCGGTTATTTTTGGTTCGGTTATCGGTTTTTCGGTTCAAAATGCCAGCCCTAGAAATTGCTGCTCATGTTTCTCTGAAAACCGAAGTGAGACAACACGCAAACAAAAAAGGGAGAAAATGGGGAACCCAGACAAAGCAGAGCAAATCTTGTGACGGGGTTTAAATTAACCAAAGCAATAAAAACCATTGCAGTACAAAAAATCCATACATTTGCAGAGGACTGGGAGCTCATTCAAAACCTTCCAAGTAATTACACATTAATAAAAAAAATCTAGATGGTCTTTGGCTCTTTGCCATGTTCTGGAAGCGGTTAGAGATTAGTTACAAAAATCATAGATGGTCTACGAATGTATAACCATTTTATCAATCAGTTGAAGAAGCTCCTCACATTTTGCCTCTGTCATTGGTAACTCCAGTGTTACCTGTCCAAACCAAATGAGGATTTCAAAACTTACACATGAGATGATAAGCTACTGGTATATGGTATACAATAACACAGCTGCAAACTCACTTCACTGAAGATCTGACTGTAAGAAGTTTGTGCAAATCCCTGCAATAACACATCAGAGGTTTTCTGCTGTCAGATTTGTCAGTGCACCGTAATAGATCATTCAATTGTATTTCAAGTTTCAACCCAGCCCCAGGACAAATGAAATTTAGCGTTGTTTGTCAATAATTCCCAAACACTATAAATTTTCACAAGAAAGCAGCAAAGTGACAGTTCTATGCCGGATGCTCTTCATGTTGCAACCTTCTTAAGAAGAAACGAAGAAATGGAATTTCAAAGGAGAGACTGGAGTTTGCACCCCCACCTTTCTTAATCTAATTTGAGATGAAAATGTGGGGTGCAAACTCCAATTCCCCACATGCAAAATGAGACAATGATGATGCGTGATAGTATTGCCAGTCATGTCATGTTCATAGATTGATAATGTTGTAAAATATACCGCAAATAACTGAACATGACTGTACTGTCTGTAACAATAAAAACATAAACCAAGAACTTAAATATATACAAAAAAGTCAAAGCATACAACAGCCCATGCAACATGCAACTGCCTCAGAGGCAAACATGTATCGGGCATACAAAAATTGAGTCTCAGTAGTGGGGATACAAACATACCAACTTCTGGAATAGACTGAGAGAAGCTTTATTTGACTCTCCAATTTTAGCTCGGAAGTTTTTTATCCCAAAATTCCTCACAGCAAATGTCATCATCAAAAGAACTGTCTCTTTACCAAGCCCTTTGCCGCGACTACACTAGCAATAAGGGAGTGGGGTGGAGTGAAAATTTGAACACAAAGATAAAATTATACAGAGTATCTGAAAAAAGGGTACAATTAGGGACTGTTTACTTTTTTCTATCAAGTCCTGTTTGGATTAGTCTGTCTGGATTAAGTGACATTTGTATATGAGGCTGTTTATTTTGTATGATGAATAAAAGTCAGAATCGAGTAAAATAATCAATTTAGTTTCATTCTTAGATTATGATGTCAATGAAAAAACTTCATTTATTAATATAAATCTATTCCACAATCAATTTGAAAAAATTGACAGCAAAAAACGTCATAAATTCATAATAGACGTCTTAATGGCAAGGACTGTTATTCTCCAGCTTAATGATTAAGTCATTTTTCTGACTGAATAATTAAGTCGTGTTTTCAGTTAAGTCGTAAGTAAACATGACTTAATGGCTGAATGATTAAGTCGTCATTGCCATTAAGTCCATTAAGTTGAAAGTACACAACCCCTTATAGTCTATATATAATAGAATTGATGAACAAAATCCAAAAACAAAGGTAACCATGCGAATGTGAGTGTATGATGATCAACATAACTGAATGCAATGGAATCTACGAATCGCCCTTATGACAAGCAGTCAAGAATAACATTAAGAAAATTAGTATCAGATATAAAATTCCTCATTTTCTGCTCTTCAGGTAAATTAGTCTTGTTACGACTAGAGCACAAAACAGTTAATAAACTTCAAATAGCAAAGCTTTTACCAGTTTTGTTCAGCTATCATTATTTCAATCTCAGCAATATGTGAATCGTCCAAGTCATTCAAGTATATATTCACATCACCAACCATGGCTGCCAAAATAGCCTAGAATTAGGCATAACAATAGTAGAATGGAAAGAAACACAAATCGTCAGAAAAAGATTGGTTAACTTGCACAAGAACAGTCTAAACAGTTGAAAAAGTAGGTCCAATGTGCAACAACTATTCATCAATTAATACTAAGGGGGGAGGCAAGATCACTGACCTTCAACGTGAGGGTCTCCATGGAAAAAGTCTCCAACAATTAGGTCCTTGTCCAATACTATGAAAGTATGTTCTGCAAAAACCGAAACAGGAACAGAAAACGAATATTTAAAAAAACTATTTCCAACCAAAATAGTTCAAAGTAGAACCAATTCAATTTAGTAAAGATTAAATCAGTAGGTTGAAGTAATAAAAGAAGTTATTACTTAAGGGATCTTGGGTCCAAGAAAGCTGCATATCATATTCTTCATCTAGAGTTAATGGCTCTGAACCAGTAGCTTGGAGGAGAGAAGGGTCTTGCATCCATTTGTGGTACTTCTGGACGTGCTCTCTCATGTATGGTACCAGAACCACTTTTTCTCCTTCTATGCTCACCTTCATTCTCTTTATTCTCTCCATGACTCCATGAATGAAGGTGAAGAATACAGGTTGTTACTCATCTACACATCTCCACTATATATTCTTTTTTTCATTTAAGGAATACATATTGGGACTTTCTTATGTTTATAATTTGTATTAAAACATATATTTCATTTCTTTTTAATTTATATTGCTTTTGAATATTTTTATTTACAAAAAAATATAGTTGGTGAGGATTGTTGTTTCATTCCCAAAAGAATGAAAGATGTTAGCCCACCCCAAAATCTTTTGGGAATAAGGCTTGGATGTTGTTTGTTGTTGGTGAGAAATGAGAATTGTTGTTTTATAAATCATCCTACACCATTGAACTGTATCTTTTAGGTATATTATGACTTTAAACAGGATTAGCAATTATTATTTCACTCAAAAATCCAATACTCCCAAACATAAAACGCAGCTAATAATTCATGAATTTGACCTTCCGGCTCTCTTTATGACTTTCTAAACACAAACTATCACGATTTACAGTTATAATTTTGCAAGTTTTCGTAAACCAACTCCTAGACCAAATATTCTATTCACTATGATGTTTTGAGATACTGGCACACACAAATTAAACAAATAAAGAATCAAGAAATCAAACTCGAGCGATTACAGGCTTCAGCAAGTCAAAAACAATGTAACAGACAGATGTTTACACTTCTTAACATTTGTGAAGTCAAAGTGTTAAACGTCTTAACATTTGTGAAGTCAAAGTGTAATGAGTACCAGCTATAAGGATCAGACAATCCGAACCCTGCGGGAAGAGGTGAATGGCGTATACTGCGTAGTGATGCGAGCAATCAAATTTTCAGATCTCTAACATCTGAGTGCAGATCTCTAAAATCTAATTCCTAAATGTATTTTTTTTGAAGTTCTCTAGGATAGCTCAAAACGGAGTTGGCAGGCCCGAAAATGGAGGCTCTGGTCAGAACATTTAGGAGTTCACTCCTCAGAATTCGTATGTACCTTGCTGATTTATTTTGTTTGGCCTCAATTTGGTTGCTGAATTTTTCACTTTTCATGTGTTTTATATTTTATTTTTTTTAAAAGAATTTTTTTGTATTTGTTATAAATCATAAGTTATTCAACTTAAGTAAATATTGTACAATATTGTTCATGAATACGCATTTTACAAAAAGTTGACCCATTCAATTAAATAAGCACACGTTTTACAAAATTGACCCAATAAATATTTTGAACACAAATATTGAACCCGAATAATAAAAACCTAACCATTAAAAAATGTGAACTCAAAAAATAACAAAGTACATCGATTAAAAGTATCAATATACTTAATCAATGTGACGATTTTTAAAAACAGTTGACCCATTCAGCATTATTAACTTGAAAGTAATTACAAATACAGTTTACAATATCACGTGTTTAATAATAAGTGACCCATTAAGTCATATGAACTCAAAATTAAACAAAGTTCATAACATATTAAAAGTACATTTGAAACATATGGCTAATAAAAGTGTTACAACATTAAAACAAACTACAAAGAAAAGAAATAATACACCATAAGAGAGTACAAATGTGAATCAATCATGTTGTGCTCTGCGTCTTGGACGCATATCCATCTCATTTGGAAATCTTGTTTCTTGACGGCGTCCTACTCGAGAAGTTCTGGAAGAGTATTTAGGCGGCAGAAGAATGAACTCATTTTGTGGCCACTCATTCAGATTCGGCAATGGCATGATATCACTGGAATGTGCATTTATGTAAGAACTTAGTTTGTATACATCTGGAATAAGATGACCAACAGGGCACTTAAGAAAATGACAGACAGCATGCGCATGGACGCATGGCATGCCGTTCATCCTCCAACAACCGCACTCACAGACAAGCCTCGATAGATTCACCGTAACAGGTGTTGCATTATCCACGGCGACTGAGTAAATTCCTGTGTAGTGGCTGTGTGGAAGAACCATAGTGTGAGGTCTTTGGTGCCAACGCTCCATAATCTCTTTCCGAATGTTGTCCGGAAAATGATATCCAGCTTGATGCCACATCATACCAGCACTACGACGTTGGGCGAAGAGCTGGACTAGTTTGTCAAAAGTTGCTCGTACAAGGGCAGTGATTGGCAATGTCCTACATCCTTTGAGAGCATTGTTGAAACTTTCCGAAAGATTTGTTGTCAAAATACCATAACGACAACCACCATCAAAACAAAGTGCCCACTTATCTTGGGGAATGTCATTTAAATACTTGAATGCTCTCTCGTTAGTACCCCTAATTTGTTGCATGAAATGGTTAAACTCACTTACAATCGAGGTACTTCCCGCTCGCCAACACAACTTCTTTAGTTGTTTACTTCTAAATTGGGACATGAAGTTGCTTCTAATGTGGCGAAGACAATAACGTCTCTAATGTGGGATTGAGAATGCAAATGTGCATCATCATGGGTGTCAGCTGTTAGTATATATGTCCTAGCGACAATCACTTTTTAGAGATATATACTTTCACATTTAGTTTTATATATTTGATATATACGGTATTACACATTGATGATTAAGTATTTCGATTGTCAATATCTTATTCATAATTGTGTTCCCTTGAATTTATGTTGTCAATAAGTAAGTGGGAGCTTATATGATATAACATAAGGTCCAAAAATAGCCCCAATCAATGATCATCAAGAAAGGGATATTGATGATATGCGATAAGATTGGTATGTGGAATGCATCATACTTTTAGAAAGTATAGTTGATCTCACAACTATGAGTTCCTGTAATTCATGATGGTCACATAGATATTTTAGAGAATATTGGCATACCCACCGAGAAACCATTTGATAAGTTCTATTCACGTGTCTATGGAATTATCGGCGTATAGAGTAGTGTAATAGTCCTCCGACTTGAGGTCAATACGTACTACATGTGCGGAGTGATGTACTTTGACCATGACCAACTCTTGCACTCCAGTCGGGGTAGATACGGCATGCGTTGGGTGCATCACAAAGCACATGGAGTAGTAGTTGAGCCAAGAAAGGATTCATTCCTCGTAATAGATTAAGAGAGAACATTCTACTTCTCATATCTAGATGGATCATAAAGTCATTGGCCAATGCAAAGATATATTCGTTTTGGATATCGAATATGATCGTTATGGATCATCTAGAAAGATTGAGAGATAGAGACTAAGTTGTTGGAATAGACACAATATCAAGTTCCAGACTTAGTTGAATGTTCGTTGAATGAAAGGACTGTATCACTATGAGCTCTATACTACAGGGAGTTTGAATAGTCCTCACAAACGTCTTTATATATTAAGTTTGTCTGGTAAATTGTCTAGGGATTCTATTAAGGCCCTACGGGTCACACAACAAGTGATTATACATTCCGATTGAATTGTTAGAAGGAATTAAATATTATTAATTGGATTAAATAATATTTAATTCATAATGGTGAAAATGTGATGAGTTAATTATTAATTAGATTAATATATTTAATTCATCATGTTGAAGGAAAGTTCTATTTGATAGAATTAATTAAGTTTGATAAATTAGATTTATTATACTTAATTAAGATGTAATTTTAATTAAATAAAGTTGGTATTTTCTTTTATAATTTAGAATTAAAAGAAAATAGAAAATGAAATAAATAATAATAATAACAAGCAAAGTGACGTGCAGCCACTTTGATATTATTATTAGTTTATTTTGTTTTACTTATTTAATTAATAAAATCGTTAATGATAAGTATTGGTCCTGGTAGGACTAGAACTCATTATTGAGAAAGACTTTCATTGTGATTGGGAAACTAGTTTAGAACTAGTATAAATACATCCTTCTCCTTCATAATTGATAGACCAGTTTTCTAGATTCAGTATTACCTGTTTATTTCCCTGCGAAGAGATTTCCTAGCCTTTCTCTAAGGGAGATCTAACCGTTCTTTCGGAGAGGAGAAATCACGTGGATACCTAAGGTCAAGGATTATCACCGCTAGGCTGGAAGATCTGTAAGTTCTAACTCAGATCTGACATTATTGCTATATTCGTTGTTTTGTCATAATCAGGGAAGATCTGTTTGGAAAATTTTAAACTTCCGTTGCTGTACTTTCGAGGTACGTTACATCAATTTCCTAACAGTGGTATCAGAGTCAAACTGATTCTAATGACATTATACGAATTTTGAGTGGTATATTTGTGAGTAATATGTATATTTTTGAAAATATATTTTGCCCTAATATTAATTTTCGAAATTGATATTGTAATTGATCTTTGAGATCTAGTTACGTAATTAATTAATCCTAGGTTTACCTATCGTATCCACTACGTATGAATATATGAAGATACGTAGTATTATGATTCTTACAACTTCAATAGAATCTAGGTCTTCTATGGTGTGTATTGAATTTTTTGTTGGATTTGCAATCGTATCTGTATCACGTAACTTTCATATTAGATTTGTACCATAGTTTTGATTTTCAATTGTAAGTTTAGTTAGATTTTTGTTTGTTTGTTTAGAACAAAATTATAAGATTTGTTTTTAGAAATTAAAATCTGGTATATATCCTTGTGATGCTTCCGATTCTTCTGACGAATTCAACAGCGAATTGAACTGCGTCCGGACTCCGGCGAGTGCACCTCTGCGTCCGGCGAGTGCACCTCTACGTCCGGCGAACTGCACCGCTGCAAGCCAAAGGCCATCTCGCTACGAAGCCCTGCACCTGCATTTTCATCGTGTTGCTACTTTGGATATTTGGTTTTTGGGCTAATTCTAGAAAATAGATGAACTGTGAGGGCTTGTTTGCAATTTTAGTTTTAGAAACTCTAAATTGAAGTTAAGACTAATACAGACACTTTTTGAAAGGAACCTGTACACTAAGTCACTAAATTAATAGTATATACGGTGCATTAGTTAATTACTTGGATGATAAAATTTGTCCTTTTAATTGGATTAAGTATCTTTGAGATTTAAAAGGATTATTTTTTTATTATATTATATGTTAAGCATGCTTATATTAATGGTTAAATTTGTTATAAATTAGATTTATATTGCATACTTTAATTTTATATGTTTGAGTTAGATCTCGTTAACATATTATTTGATAATATGTTTTAGCATCTTGATTAAATAGAGTAATTTAATACCCCGCTAAATGTTCTTCATAAATTAAAGTTTAAGTCTTATCTAGGATAACGACATCACCCATCATAATTAAATTAGTAGAAATATTTTTTCGTTGAAGAATATTTCACCCAAGTGTTTATTCCATTCGACAAAATATAGAACTAATTTATAGATACATATGTTTGTGATCGTGTGATGGTTTTGACTTACTTAAATTAGCTCGAGTCGCCCAAGCGTCAGTGTTAATTTAGGGATGTCGATCAATTTAAAAATTGATCAACCAAAAGTTGCTTGGACGCAATTGGTCTAGGGACCTACCCATTATATTATTGCAGTGATCAGCCCAAGCTGGGACTGTAATAGTATGAATGAGGATTTTGGCCACTATGATTGTAAAACATTTCATGTTCTTTTTATTGGGGTCAAATAACATGAAAAATAGTGGGAGCTAAATAATTAAAAGTCCGAATTATTTAGTTAACTAAATGTGATCATAGGAATTATTACATGAATTTTAATTCCCGTTCTATTTGAACTTCTTTAGGCTTTTAGAAATGTGGAATTTATCATTGAGAAGTATTTTGGATACAAATAATCTGACTCGACCAGACTTTCTAGACTTCGAACAAAATGTGTGTTTAGTGTTTAGGCAAGAATATATTGAGAATGTGTTTGACACATGTGTACCCGAGGTTCCTAATGTCAACTCTTCTGAATTAGTTATATTTGACATGGACATTCAGAATAATAACATTGCTAAGGTAAGCTCTACTGCTGAATCTTTTCCTACGGGAAATAACAAGCAGAAGAAGAGAAGTAAGGTTAGACCTAAGCCTCTAGCTTTGAAACCTAAAGGTAGGATTCAAAAGAAATAAAAGGTACTAAAGGATGTATGCCTTTACATCAAAGAAATGACATTG